GATCATGTGTCACTGAAGACTGGAGTAATGATGCTGAAAATTCAGCTTTGCATCACATAAATAAATTACATTTAAAAAAAATAATCAAATATAAAACTGTTATTTAAAATTGTAATAATATTTCACAATATTACTGTTTTTACTGTATTTTTGAACAAATAAGTGCAGCCTTGGTGAGTATAAGAGTTTTTATCTTAGACTTTTAAATAATACACACACATATATATATATATATATATATATATATATATTGTTTTTACTGTATTTTTGAACAAATAATGCAGCCTTGGTGAGTATACAAGTTTTTATCTTAGACTTTTAAAAGGTAGTGTACAACAGCTTTCTGTGAAGAACAATATAAATTTTGAGTCATGATCATTAATTATTTTGTGAACTGATTCATTGAAAAGATCTGACTCAAAAGTACCTTTTATTTCATGAATCAAACATCACAGCTTCCTCAAAGTTTTATGAAAGTGCCAAGATTTTCTCAGTGAATAACAACTTTAATAGTTTACAAACAGAAAATGATGCTAGACTCACCAAGACCATCTCAAAGCAAATATTAGGACTTTTTGTTCCAAGTTTAAATGCATGCAATCATTCGCTTTCACTTTTTCTGTACACTTTGCACTGTGTTGCTACCTAGCAACCTTGTAAAGTCGCCCTTCCGTGACACTGTCTGCAAAGCTTTTCATGTGGATGTCAAATTGGCGAATGACGCTTGTGTTATTAGGTATGTTAAGACCCTGACACGAGTCATGTTAAAGGGCTTTTAGACTGATCGCTGAATCTCCACACTCTGAATATGCATTAGCCCATTTCCTTTTAACCCTCCACAAGCGTTCAGGTGAGGGATATGAGGATGCTGCGCTTGTAGCCCGAGGCACAGAGCGTCGCAGGGGCCTCTGAGCGTTTGACAGAATGGCCTTGAACTGTGAAAGGTATGTTTTGGATTGGAAGGAAGCGGTTTGTTTTCCTATGAGATGTTCTTCAAAATTCAGGCCTCCTCCTGTGCAGAGCAGTGATCATGAACGGCAAGATGCTTTGAGGAGAGATGGTGATTACGCCACTATGTGTCATCCATCCCTGTATCTCTGAGAACGCCAACATTTCTCAGCATGAATAAAACATGAATTGCTGCCATTTTGTAGCTGCACTTTTTAATCTGCAAATCATGTTGTGCTGATGTTTGTTTTCCCTCTCTGCCTTCTTTTTTCCCTTTCATTTCTTCTTGCAGGGTGATACAGCTGCCTTGGAGGAAATTAAAACATTCATCCGAAATGAAGTATTGCGCGTATTTGAAGGTACATCATCTGCCGCTGCTGAGGTGTTTTGTTGTGGTCTCCACCGGTAGATAAGGATTTTTTTTTTTTTTTAGCTTTCAGTTTTTTGTGTGTCTGTATATGTGACAGGAACTTTGTAAGACATTTAAAAGACAATCATCAACACTAAGTGTATTGCAAATAAGCTCTTTACTAGGGGACTCCAAAAATAAGAACAGTTTAATATTAAGTGTAGTGACTTCTAATGTGTTACCAGCTTGTGTTTTATTGTCCACTACCACAAAAAAATGACCTTAAACTTTTTAAAATTTTTAATATTATTTTTTCATTAATTTAATTTAATGTACTGTAATTTAATGTGGATGGATGGATGGACGGACGGACGGACGGATGGATGGATGGATAGATGGATGGATGGATGGATGGATGGATAGATGGATAGATAAAAACAGTTGTCAACATTAACAGTATTGCAAATTAGCTCTTTACCAAAGGTCCCCGAAAATGAGAATTTTATTTTATTTTATTTTATTTTATTTTATTTTATTTTATTTTATTTTATTTTATTTTATTTTATTTTATTTTATTTTATTTTATTTTATTTTATTTTATTTTATTTTATTTTATTTTATTTTATTTTATTTTATTTTATTTTATTTTATTTTATTTTATTTTATTTTATTTTATTTTATTTTATTTTATTTTATTTTATTTTATTTTATTTTATTTTATTTTATTATTTTATTTTATTTTATTTTATTATTTTATTTTATTTTATTTTATTATTTTATTTTATTTTATTTTATTATTTTATTTTATTTTATTTTATTATTTTATTTTATTTTATTTTATTTTAGGGACAAATTAAAATTTTGTTAACTGACAGCTCTGTTCTGACATTATATTTATTTTTTTTTATTATTCTATTTGTTTTTTGTTTGGTTTTTTTGCAAAATGAGGGACAAATAGAAATGTTGTTAATTAACAGTTATATATAAAATAGTAGTATAATTCACATTCTTAATTCTGCTTTTTTTCAGAGAGATTTTCAGACAGTTACGCTTTGCTACAGAAGACACCAGCAGCCATATTAGCCGCGCAGGGTCGACAAGGCCCTCCAGGGCTACCTGGTAATGATGGCTCCCCAGGACCCCCTGGAGAGCCAGGATCTCCAGGTCCCCAAGGTAGGAGCCAAAACCCAAAAGACTAAACATGTTACGGACCTCTTTACGCTGCTCCTACGATGGTCTCGTCTCACAAAAACCCAGATGCACAAGACTGTGATTATTTATATGACTCATCTGTTTCCCCAGTATTACGTTTTTTTGCTTGCTTCTCAAGGATTCCAGTTTTTCTATCTCTCTCTTGGTGGAAAATAGTGTTGATGTGTATGTATTTTTAGTTAGCTATACTGCGTCATTTGCTTCTCAGATTGTTAATTGAATTACACTGAACTGAGTGGGTTGAGGTAATTTTGCTCTTTAGGCCAAGTCAAGCTTTGAAACTCAAGTTCAAAGTAACCTAGCTCAGAAAACTAGAAAATGAGCAAGACGGTCCTCACAAAAGTCATGCAAAAATGGCCGCTGATTGCGATATTGGGTGTAAGGCGTTCACAGGAATCTTGCTAGCTACGTCAGACAAGAAAGAAAGCAGATAGCTGCATGACAAAGTAGCATATGGTGCTGAGAGCCTGGCGGGACATATGAAGACGGATGAAGAACCGACCCAGAATAGGAGAATGTAATATCGCCCTAGACAGACTTGTGAGAGCAAGAAAGATAAAGAGAAGAAGTGAGCAGATGGAAAAAGCCACGCAATATCTCACTTTGTTGGATTAAGCCCAGCCCCCCCCCAAAAAAAAAACGAAGGGGAGTGAGAAAATAAGCAATTCTGAACATTCATCAAAGACTGGCAACTAACGTACTGCTCCTCTAGCGTTTCTCATCAGTAATGACTAGCAGTTCGGTTCTGCTTCTTCTGTCTGAGTTCTTATGATGTTTTTCAAGATATAAGACTATGGTGTGTACATTTGAACTCTAATAAGTGACGTCCATGCAAAGAAAACATATGTTATGTTGTGAACATTGCATTATTGATATCCAGATTGTGTCAATGCATTTTTAACAGCAGGTGAAGCTCTGAAAAGCCACTTTGTATCACTTTACTGTGTATTTGTGTTGTGTGGCACATTTTACTGTAGACTGTGCTTTGGAGATTGCTGGAGAGGAACATTTCTCCACAATGCGAGGTGTCAGGAGGAAATTAAAAACAGGAATTTTAAACTCCTGCTTAGTCAGAAATTCAGCAGTTTTAATTTGTCAGATGTTGATGTTGATGATGAAGTTTGCGGGTAATATTTCCTCATTATTTTTCGTCATCCTCTGCTGGAGTCTGTCCTCCTTTGGAATCCTCAATTTAACCACTTTTTTTTCACGTAATATGCTAAAATGAAGAAAAATATCTCTGCAATCTCGGTCGCTTTACACATCTGAGTCACATTAATTCCACTCAGGGTCAGTTTTCTTGCGAGTTAAACTAAATGAGAATTGGCAACGTTAATACGTCTTTGTATCCTCTCTTGTGACCCGAAAGAGGTGGTTTTGCTCGAAAACGCTTCCAAATGCTGCTCTTGAATTTAAATGCTTTTGCTTTATGTGATTTTTGTGCCATTTAGCTTTACTTGTTCATTTTTATTTAAAATGTGTTCTTAAAATTAAATTATTTACTGTATCAAGTTTGATGTTTCTTTTGCTCATGAGCCACATATATATGGTTCATGCAATTTGAGAGTCATATAACATCATAACATCTAAAACTACTTATGCAACTATTTTACGAAGTGTTATCAGCCATGCTTTTGTGTAGCAAGTTTTTTGGGATAACATTTTTTAATCCCTTTGCAACTTTTTGTATTTAAATCTTCTAGGGTGATGAAATGCTTGGTTTCAATAAAATGTATCTAATTCATATTTTAAACTCTTTTTTCCTGCATGCCAAGAACATACCCAATTATACTTATTATGCTGTGTGTGCAATATTATATTAATGTCATTTTATGCAGAGAAATGTACCAGGATTTTGATAATCTCAATACAACATTTTTAAAGATTTTTTTTTTTTATTTGCTACTGGTTTCTATGAGCAAATCTGCAAATTTTATGGAAGTGCGAAGCCGTTTTAAGATTAATTAAATGTAAATATATTTCTATGTAATATTTCATGTTTTCATTCTCATTTTTCTTCCTCCACAAGGTTGTCTTTTTTTCTGAGTATGAAAAATTATTTTAAATGTCAGATCTTCGAAAGATGACAGTTTGTAGATGTTGCTGCAGGCTGCATTTCGCTAGTATTGTATTGCAGCTCCCCCTGCCGTTTTTTTCCCCCGTTATAACTGTGCAGTATGAACTCCCCCTCAAGCAGGGGTGGTAATGCAGTGATTGTGAGCAGCCACAGGAAGCCATGATGTGATGCCGCAGGTAGAGTGCCGTCCGTCCGTGGAATGCCATTGCATTGGATGAATGCATCTGAAGGTGCCCGGACACACTTTAGTTAGTTTGCTTGTGTAAGTTGCACATGCAAAAACTGGTACTGGTGACACTGTCAATTACTGCATTATTTGGCATCTATTGGGTATTTTCTTGTTTATTAACTGCTACAGTGTTTCTCTTTCAGGCTAGACTCGGTCTGCCTCAGAGGAAACGCATCACTAATGCATGTGTATTTTGACTGGAGGCAGTTTTCTGCATGCCATTATAAAGATTGGTTTCTTACTGAGTGTGGGAAAACAAGACTTAAAGATCAGCATCAGCTAATGTGTTTTTGTTTGTTGGTTTGCCTGCCCGCTGCGTGTGACATGCCGTCCAGCACTGTCAGCATTTGTGGTGCTCCTTAAATACTTTGAAAGCGTGTTTCTGATAGATGGATTTGTCATTACTCCTGAAGGGCTTAGAAAACTGTCCGAGTTCTGAAGGATCTGAGACTAGTTGTGTAATACGGCAGATTTGGACAGGGCCTTATGTACCGTTTCCACCTGGAGGCCACACTTTTATGGAAATGCAAAGTCTGAGATGAACTGAATCTAGAAACTGTTAAGATAAAGTATGTCAATGATTATTCATTTAACAAAGTACTTATTAAATAGTGTAGTGATGCTAAATTCTGCCTGTTAGTAAAAGGTGGTAATAATGGAATACAGTACAAAGAATTATAATAAAATCATTATATGACCATCACTCTCATAATCACTCCTGCCTGCATAGATTTTATAAAGGATGATATATGTTCTGTATATCTGACATTGTGTATTTGTGTGTTTTAACCCTGCAGGGTATCGAGGGCAGAAAGGGGAACGAGGTCAAATGGGGTTAGGACTTCCAGGAGCTCCAGGCCCCACTGGCCCACCAGGTAATTCTGGATGAACATTTTAAAGTTTGTTGACTTTCTATCTGTGACGTGTATTTTATTTACCGCAGAAAATAATTTCGATTATATATGGGGTTTTTTTGTTGTTGTTTGATTTTTGAAAACAAATTAATTAAATTGATAAAAAATGACAAAAAGACCTTTATATTGTCACAAAAATTTATATTTCAAGTAAATATTGTTCTTTTCAACTTTCTCTTTATCAAAGAATCCTGATATGAAGTATCATGGTTTTTAACAAAAAATATTATTCAGCACAACTGTTGATAATAATAATAAGGCATGTTTCTTAAGTTCCAAATCATTACATTAAAATGATTTCTGAAGGATCATGTGACACTAAAGACTAGAGTAATGGCTGCTGAAAATTCAGCTTTGCCATCACAAGAATAAATTACATTTTATAATATATTCAGATAAAAACAGCCATTTTAAATTGTAATAATATTTCACAGTATTAGTGCTTTTATTGTATTTTTGTAAATAAATGCAGCCTTGGTGAGCATAAGAGAATTTCAAAAACATTTTAAAAAAATCTTCTCAACCCCAACCTTTTGAAGTCCTTTGTATTTTTGCTCTAAACTTTTCATGGTGTCTTTGCCTATAGGTTTCCATAGAATAGCTTTGTTTTTTAGAAAATGAGGAGTAAATTGAATTATTTTTGGACAGCATGCCTCAGATACTACCATTGGACCTTAAGATGTGTTTAACCCAGAATATTCCTTTAATACATGAGCCGTGACACCACGTAATGAGTAGAGATAATTAAAAAAAACAAAGGAACTTGTTGTTGGTTATTGCTTTTAAGAGTGAGAGGTACATTATCTGTTATATAATAGCATGGATAGGCTAGATGGACAGGCTAGATCAAACTCATGTAGAACAATAGAAAAAAAAAACCTTGCTTTGTGTTTTTGTTGGGGTCCGGAAAGGCTTGTAAATACATTTCCGTGATGGCCGTTCTTTGCACTTTTCACACTCTTGAAATCTGCAACACACAGATAGAAGCAATTATTTAAATTGGTGCTTTAATGTTTTACTTTTTAAAAGCACAGGCAGATAATGGCACCAAACTAAACTAATGACTACGGCATTCTTTAATGAACGGCCCTTTTATAGAGGTACAAAGTGCTCACTTATTGTTCTTCAAATGAAAAAATACAAAAGAGACTTTAACTGGGGGTTCTTTATAATTGCACGGCACACTGTTATCAGCGTATGCTCTGATTTCCCTCTTTCTCTCATCCTCTGCAGTTAAAGGGTAACAAGCCCATAAAAAGAAGTTTTATTGTGTTTATATACTGCACTATTTTGCCGTGATCACTCTACAGTAAAAGTGCCTTTAAATAACAGTGTTTACAAAGGCAAACGTCATTATCACTATTATTACTGCTCATAGAAATCACCAGAAAACCAGCAACTGCATAGCAACACCTCAGTAGCATGTTTTGAAAAATTTAGTTCATTCTGGTATTTACTACCTGTTCTTGATTTGTCTACAGGCTCAACCGGAATAGGATTCCAGGGTCCCAAAGGTGCTCCGGGGCCAGAGGGAAGATGTAACCCCAGCGACTGCTTCCATCCTTACGCCAGATGAGACGGCTAGAATCTGACGCATCCTCATCAAAACCCGATTAGATCCTGGAAACCTGTGAACCAGCTCATCTACACAAGCATTAAATCCTATTGAAACAAACGTAGGATCCCTGCTGGAGGAGAAGAAACACACAAACGTTGTCCACACAGAGCAGCCATTACTGGTGAAGTCTTTTCATCATTTATCTCCGTTTCATTTCCCATATTTGTGACCAATGCATTTACTCATTTCCCATGTTTTGTGGGTATGACGTGAGAATTCAAATCTCATCATTACACTAATCACACCGGACAGGTTTATCTGAGGCGGCGTGGTCATGGCAAATGCAGGTGGAATGAGAATTTACATTTGTTTATTTTCTTCAAGCTGTTGTGAAGTTGAGTTTTGATTCAGTTGTGATGGCTCTATGCAATCTAAAATAGAAAACGCGTACGTTAACAAATATTAAGTTAATGTAAATAGCAGACATTGTAATTGTTTTTCAGACATTTAATTTTGAATTTTTTTTAAATAAGTGTACTTTCCAGCCCTGCGGGAGGAACATTGCTTGAGTAGGGAGTTATTGTCATGATTATCACCTCAGACACATATATATGCATTAAAACATGTGAGACCACTAGTAAAATTATAAACAATTAAACATTTAAATTTAATAATTCATAGTAAATAAATTATAAAGTAATAATGTCAAATTTTCATTTATTGTTTTGTAGTGTGGTATTTATTCTATTATTTATTTAATAATTATTAGGGATGCACGATATTATCGGACCAATATCGGAATCTGCCGATAATGGCTTTAAATGTAAATATCGGCCAGATATGAAACATTATGCCGATATGTCGTCGATAAGAGGAATACGTTAACTCACATGTGCTCAGGGTGTGCTAGCGATTAGATCAAGTCAGCATTGTGGCTCATTCTTGAAGCAAAGTTTTGCCTGAATGGTGATTAGATTCACTGCTTTGGATCGCTGCATTTAAACTGAGAATGCAGGTACAGAATGACTTGTTCGGTGTATGATAGAGTAAACAGTAATAGCACATGCAGCGGCAGCCTCCCCTGGGTCCTAATGTCCGCTCAGTAAGGAGTTTTAATTCCGTAGGGGGCGCTGTTGGCCTACTTCTAATAAAATGAAAGCAAAATGCACAATAATATTTAGACTGTGTTTCTGATTAACTAAAGCAGTAATTGATGCCATAAAATCATGAGTATGTTTTGATTTAAAGGTCAGAAGCTATAGCTTACATGAACAAAAAAAAATCATAAACATGACTCTTTAATTCAATAATTTTATATACTGATTTATTCATTAATGTTATATTTTTAAACAAATTATGAGCTCTAAAAGATTTTTTTAATTTTTCAACTTTTTTTTGCTTTAGGCCATTTACAAATGTTAAATCATAAAATAAAATGTTAAGGTTTCCACTGCATCTTTCTGAAAAAAAAAATGCAGTGATTAATATATAGTTTATTTATAGTTATTTTCAAATCTTCAATGTACAGTCATTATAAAAGAACTTTATTATTGTTTATTTTATTCTAACAAATAAGTTCTTGTTAAAAACTAACCAAAATTACAAATAATTATATATCGGCTATCAGCCAAAATGAGTTGAAAATGATCGGCATATCGGATATCGGTAAAAATCCAATATCGTGTATCCCTAATAATTATAAATAAATATATTCAAAAATATTTTTAATTACAAATTATGTAATCCGCATAACTCAAGTAGAACAATTATAACGACGAATTCAAATGCTAAATATCTCTTAATCATTTCTTGTTCATTTAGTCTTTATTTCCAAATGGCAAAACTTGGTTAAGTTCCATGTTCTATAGATTTTGAATCCCAGATCTTCAAAGTGGTATCAAAGTTTTGATCAAACACAGCAAAGAATGATGAAAGAAATAATTGTATTGATTTTGCTGTGTTGGTCAGTGCTGGTGAGGTGAAAATTGTTCATGATATTAATAAGCTTTAATTGTTTACAGGAAAATAAGCGCTGTTCCTTTTTCTGACTGTTTAAACACCTTCATACTGGTGTTGTATGTATATTTTGTTGTGTGCCTGGTTTGTTTTTCCTAAGAAAATATGTGGAGTGATTTTTATTTGCATTTGAATATATTTATCTTTGCATTTGAATATATTTATCTCCAATTTCTTTTGCTTTGTATGGAAAGCGTCCTTCCATGTTACTTGAATATTTTTTATAAGACGACATCTTTGTCAATTTCATTTTCACAGTTTAACAGATGGCAAGCCAGTTAACTTCAAACTTTGTAGATTTTACTTTTCATGGGCAGCAATGCGTCTTAAGACCATGTTTCTGTGTAATGTAGTTCTTTATTTATTTGTGTACAATTTTAGGATTGCAGTCTGGATTGAGTTTTTATTTATTTTATAGATATCTGTAATATCTTGATCCAGCATCAGTAAGATGAGATTTAGGCCTACTGAAGGCGCATATGAGTCATTGAATCTTTTGACTTCATCCATCTGGCTCTGTTGTGAAGATGAAGGTTGCTGGAGTCATGTGGACGGATGACAGTCTTCCCAGTCTCCTCCATTACAGCTTTCTTGCTTTCTCTCTTTCCTTCCTTTCTCCCAGGGTTTTTATGAAGGTAAATTTAAGACCAAGTAAAGAAGTAAACCAAGTAAATAAATTGAATGGAACACAGTATGTCAATATTGTCTTGTATTAGCAATGTTTCAAAGTTTGGCAATACAACTTTTAACAGATCTCCATGATTTTTTTAATTCATTTTACAAAAACAAGCAAACAAGCAAAAGCTTATGGCTTGAATACCTCTGCTACTGAATATTTTACTTTATCGTCTGATCACACTGCAGAAAGTGCTGTTCTTTCTAAGTATTTTTGTTGGGATTTCCAGTGCAAATGTCTAAAGATAATTTACAGTACTTGACAGGCAAACGTACATCAAATAAGAAGTCTTGTTTTATGAGAAATTGATCAGAAAGAATTGAGTTTATATGATTAAAACAAGAACAATAACTGCCAGTGGGCTCAGAAAAATCTGAAAAACTTAATTGAAAGGGAAAAACAAGTTTTCACACCCCAGTGACAGATGTTTGTTCTAGTTTTAAGCATAAAGTCACAATTTTTGATATGTTCAGTTTGCATCCAAAGTAATCTATCTTGATTTAAGGATGTTTAGATATTTGTTTTGGAAATCGAAACAAAAATACTGAGGAAGATATTGATTTTTTTTAAAGCATGTCAAATTTAAAGCCATGACTTGATGATTTAAGCTCTGATTTAAGACCTTTTTAGGCCTCAATTTGTGGAAGGTCAAATTAAGACTTTTTAAGAACTGCAGAAATCTTTCTTTCTTTCTTTTTCTTTTTCTATTGCACCTACGGTTAAGTGTGACAAAGCAAACCCTTAATAGTTTTTTTTTTTTTTGCTGTTTTACTCATTAATTTTATGCTTCTTATTTTTATATGTAATGTACCAGATTACCTCTGCTGAGAGTTCTTTTTTTTTTTTTGATGGGTCAGGACATAAGACTCTTGTGAGAGATTGTTGAACTGCTTGTTTAACACGCATTAGAGAGAATCCTTCCAAGTAAGCATCTCAGAGTCGGCACGGCTTTGTCTCCTTTATATTAGTACAGTTAACTTAATTTACAGAAATGGGCTATTATTGACATGTAGCATGGATACAATATTCTTCTCAAGGGCTAAACCTGTGGACTTACTTGAAGGACAGTCTTAAGACAAAACACCACATCTACCTGATATGCATTGCATCACCTGATGGAATATCTGGAAGATGATTCTGTTTCAATATGGTTCTGTTCTCATTGTGGTCAGTTACAGTACCACACATCCTGTCAGTTCCTTTGCCTTTTTGTGCTTGTGCAAATGCATTTGGTTTGCATATTTATATAATTGTACATTGTTTTAATAAATGTGTTTAATTTCACATTCATTGTGAAACAGTGTCTTACGTGTCTCTCAATATGCAACTGTATTTTTCTGACTTAATGACACAATCCATTGTGAAATGTGGTCAATCAATATGTACTTTATGAGAGACAATATAAGCATGGAGTTCGGTTTATATGGTAGGCAAAAGTTGAGAACTATTGCCATTGGAGACTGTTGTAGATTGAATGTACTAACATGTTTGGTTCATTACTATTATTTTAGAGGTAGATACCTGGTTTGAGAAATGTTTGTACTTTTTTTTGTTGTGTGATGTATAATATTTGTTAATATTAGTTTAACTGTATTGGGTGTTTCTCATGCTTGTGTGACTCTATGCCAAATTGTAATACCTTTAATATTTAGCTTAGATTATGTGCTGTACAAAGCTATTTTGTTAATTGTATGCATTAGATTGTGTTTTAGGATGCTCAAGTTCAGTCTTTCAGCATTCCACTTACATTGTTGTTGTTTAGATTGTTGAGTGCATTAGATATGAATATGACCAGTGGCCTCAGAAATAATTTTGGCATTTAAAGGAGTAGTGCGCCCAAAAATGAACATTTGCTTAAAAAAATAAATAAATAAAAGGGTTGACTTTTTAGGCCATCTAAGATATACTATAAATGTTTTTCTTCATCAGAACAGATTTGGAGAAATTTAGCAACACTTGCTCACCAGTGGATCCTTTGCAGTGAATGGGTGCCGTCAGAAAGAGAGTACAAACAGCTGATAAAAACACCACAATGTAATCCACATGACTCCAGTCCTTCAATTAATGTCTTGTGAAGTGAAAAGCTGCATGTTTGTTATAAACAAATCCACCATTATGACTTTTTTAACTTCAAACTGTTGCTTCCAGTTAAACTACAAGTCCTCTATCAATAATCTTGCTTTCTTCAGGGAAAAAGTCGTCTCTTCTGAATCAGGAGAGAAATATGAAGAGATCAAGCATCGTTTACAGGCAAGAACAGTCTAAAATGGTTATAAAATGTGTTGGTAGATTTTTGATGTGAGCTGACAACAGGGGAATGACTTTTTCACTGGAGGAAGCGTACTTATGTATTATGGACTCGTATTTTGAAGCGATGAATTAAAGTTAAAATGCCTTGATGCATTTGTTTAAGAAGACAGCTTTTCACTTCACAAGATGTTAATTACTTGTAGATTATTGTGATGTTTTTATCAGCTGTTTGGACTCTCATTCTGACGGCACCCATTCACTGCAGAGGATTCATTGGTGAGGAAGTGATATAATGCTAAACTTCTCCAAATTTGTTCTGATGAAGAAACAAACTCATCTACATCATGGATAAGTACATTTAAGCACTTTTTCGTTTTTGGCTGAACTATTCCTTTAAATTAATATTGTTTAAAACATAACTTTGTTTTGTGAAATGTTTGTTTTCTACTTCAATGGCATGTCTAAAGTGTCCAAATGCTCTTTGAGGCCACTTTATATATTAATGAAATTTCTCTTTTTAATTAACATTCAAATTAATTATAAATGTATTAACTTAATGCTTAACCATTGTCTAGTCTGAACTGATGTTTTAAGTTTTAATTGAAGTGAATGACATTTTATGTAATTCTTAACATCTCCCTCGCTTGATTTCGTTTCTGATTATTGCTGACTTTGGTTTGCCTGCATCTCTAAATGAGCATCTACACTGAAAGAGCAATCGAAATGTGTTTGTGCCAACATTTTTGCACTGGCATGTAATGAGTTATTTAAGTGAGAAAGAGTGGAAAAAGCTGTGATAAGTGCAGCCGGGCTATTCAACAAGGAAGTGTTACTTGAAAGGGGAAAAGGCATAAGAATGTTTGAGACCTACATTTATTTTGAATTAATATAAAAACATCACATTTATTCAAATGTGTTTCCCCGTGAACGAGATTTGAGAGTCATGGAAGTCAAATAACCAATTTTCATGGTGTTTTTATATTACACATGAACTACCGTTATGGCTTTTTGCGTTATTTTTGTATTTTTCAGTGTCTGTCCACATTTATTTCTTGTCTTTTAAGAAAAAAAACATTTCCTTTAGTGTTATATGAACCAGGAGGTCCAGGAACGCCCGGCTGACCCGGGGCACCAGGTGGACCCCGTTCTCCATCACGCCCATCTTGACCGTATCCTGGTTTTCCAGGTTCACCTGCAAGACAGAACAAGGTCAGTCATCTTCAAGCTCACTACATTTCCCATTAAAATCATTGCAGAAGGCCAAAGCTTAAGGTCATTCTCATTTGCATTTCCACATGGAGAAAACCGTGAACGAGATTTGAGAGTCATGGAAGTCAAATAACCAATTTTCATGGTGTTTTTATATTACACATGAACTACCGTTATGGCTTTTTGCGTTATTTTTGTATTTTTCAGTGTCTGTCCACATTTATTTCTTGTCTTTTAAGAAAAAAAAACACCTAAATTCTCCTAAACATTTCCTTTAGTGTTATACTGAAGTCATACAGGTTTGAAACGACATGAGGGTGAGTAAATACCAGAATTTGAGTGATTACTTTTTTAGCATACCTTTTTTTTTAAATCTAGCTGAAGTATATGGATGCTTGTTTTTTGCCATAGAAATAAAGGCTTGGAAATATAAAGCTGAAAAACTGTATGACACCAGCACATGGCACTGCTGCAGATCTGTCTGTTACAATTAGAGCACTGGGTAACGACTGCAAGAAATCCTGTTTAAACAGACAGCTTCATTCGACTGACAGTAAGTGTCAGTGACAGATACAAAGACAACAGAAGGCTTCATATACCTCCAATTCATCAGACATCTGACAGCTTCATTTAACACCAATTTAACTTTGCTTTCAAAAGTCTATTACCAGGATGGAGCTAAATATATCTCCAACATCATTTTAGAAATAAATTGAGTTGTTTCAGACTGAATTGGTTTGCAGATGATATTCATTAACGCCCCTTCCATTTATGCAATAATACTATGATTTTCTTTGACAAGAGGAAGTAGGATATGAGACTTGAGTCAGAACTGACCTGGTAGTCCAGGAGGTCCCGGCATGCCTTTGGGTCCCCGACTTGTAGGTCCCCTGTCCCCTCTGTCTCCCATCTCACCTGCGACACACATGCATTAGTTCAGCACTAGAAATACTGACATGGCTGTGCCTATACACCAATGACTCTGGTTCAGGGGGTTCCAAACTTTATTTGTCAGCAGACCGTCAAGTAAAATATTTACTTGGAAGTACACCCTGAGATTTTAAGTTAATATTTTAAAAAAGTTAACTTCACATGCATGTTTTCTGCATGCAGGGTTATTATAAGTAACTAAAACTTAAACTGAACCTAAAACAAACAAAAAAAATCCTTTTCATGACTTAAAACAAATGTTAAATGAATAAATTTAATTAAATAATAAAATAAAATGACAGCTAGTTGGCAACATTTCTCCTAATTTTGTTTAACTTGATATACTAAAATACAAAGAAATTAAATAAAAAACTAAAATGAAAAAAGACAAACACAATAAAATTACTAAAACTAACTGAAATTAAAATGGAAAATCTAAAAACAAACATTGATTCAAAATATTAATAAAAACTATTAGTTTCTGAATGACATGATTTTCTTTGACAAGAGGAAGTAGGATATGAGACTTGAGTCAGAACTGACCTGGTAGTCCAGGAGGTCCCGGCATGCCTTTGGGTCCCCGACTTGTAGGTCCCCTGTCCCCTCTGTCTCCCATCTCACCTGCGACACACATGCATTAGTTCAGCACTAGAAATACTGACATGGCTGTGCCTATACACCAATGACTCTGGTTCAGGGGGTTCCAAACTTTATTTGTCAGCAGACCGTCAAGTAAAATATTTACTTGGAAGTACACCCTGAGATTTTAAGTTAATATTTTAAAAAAGTTAACTTCACATGCATGTTTTCTGCATGCAGGGTTATTATAAGTAACTAAAACTTAAACTGAACCTAAAACAAACAAAAAAAATCCTTTTCATGACTTAAAACAAATGTTAAATGAATAAATTAAATAAAATAATAAAATAAAATGACAGCTAGTTGGCAACATTTCTCATAATTTTGTTTAACTTGATATACTAAAATACAAAGAAATTAAATAAAAAACTAAAATGAAAAAAGACAAAAACACAATAAAATTACTAAAACTAACTGAAATTAAAATGGAAAATCTAAAAACAAACATTGATTCAAAATATGAATAAAAACTATTAGTTTCTGAATGACACTAAAATAACACTGCTCTGATGTCGGTTAATGTTCACATGCAAGTAAACAAATACAAATATTTGATCTTTTTTAGTAAGCGTTTTATTTGTATCTTATTTATTTTAAATTTGCATTCAATTTAATTATTACCTTTTCATCAAATCATGAACTCCCATTTGGGATACCCTGCTCTAGTTGTTGTTCCAGGCTCAACAAGGATCCTGTAAAGCAGTCTGAACTCAAAGTCCCATAATGACTCACCTTTCGGCCCCTTGAGACCCAAAAGTCCCAGAGGCCCTTTGAGTCCCGGGAGTCCTCTTGCACCAGCATGCCCAGGGAAGCCGCTGTCACCTGAGGGTCCGGGAGGACCAGGGGGACCAGGTCTGCCTGGCAGTCCGACCGCTCCAGACTCTGGTCTCCTCAGACTGGCAGCCAACTGGGCCAGCTGCTCTGAAATGGCAAAGACCAAATGCGCTAATGAGTGTGAACAGCCCCCTGCTACTAGCACACCTCATTTTTATTTCATTTATCCATTGATTTTGCAGTTGCACTCACTAATTAGAGTCGTCTAACACTTCACACTAACTGTTTTGTGTTTTGTCTATTGTGTTTCTGTACTAATGTTAGGACGCCTCCTTGAGGACGATCCATCTTCCTGTTCTGTCTTCATGATTCCTTCACTTTAGACTACACTTAAAGTTGCAATGCAACAGAAGTAGCGACAGATCTTTTCTTCCATTATTATGATGTACATTTGTGGGTAATGGATTATCAAAAAAGAAAAAATGCAGGCCAGGGACTTGGTTCTATGCATCGGTTGCTAATTGGATTTTAAAATGAACGCATTGCACTCCCAAATGGGGCATATGAATGTGAGGTTACAGGGGTGGGGTTTAAGCGGATTATATGATTTGATAAATCCTGCATATATCACCAGAGAGAAATCTGTCGTTTCACTGGTAGATCCAGTTATGATAGTTTAATGAAACATTACGAGGTCAATTCATGCACGGACAAATTGTTCAAAATAAGATCTAAAACATGCATTTAGAATATATTATTAATAATTAAGCTCTTTTTAATCTTGGTTTATGAAAAGTCCATGAAACGCTGAAATGGTATGACCAGTTGTTTAACAGTAAACAACCAATGAGAAAGTGCTTCACTGCTTACCTCATTCATGTGCTTTTTACAGCCTCGACATTATTTGGAAATTATGCTATGTTACATTATGCTACGTTATATATATTTCACACGGTACATTTGTAAACCCATGGTTGAGATTCCTTTAACATTTGAAATATGCAAAAAGGGATAGTTCATCCAAAAATGAAATATCTGCCATCGTTTACTCCGCTTCATGTTGTTCCAAACCTTTATGACTGACTTTATTTCTGTGTAACACAAAGGAAGATATTTTGAGCACTTGTAACCAAACAGTTTTGGTTATCATTGACGTCCATTGTATAGACCATTGTATAGGTTTCTGTTTATCACTTTGGATCAATGCTGAATGTGTAAATGTAAATGTGTCAAACCAGGTGCAATACTAAATAAGCCACATTTCTGACTTTTTATTGCACACATTGTAAGTTGCTTTATGTTTTTGAAGTAAAATAAGACCCTAGACTAATTTTATTTTATTATAGCTCTAATATTTTGATGTGAATAAGCAGATAATTTGCCAGCTTTCAATATTCACTAAAAGCTGTGTTGCAGAACGCTGTTAAAGCCCACTCCTTCCATTCATCCTTTGAATGGTGTTCTTATACGTTTTCAATTTGCTATGGGAAATTGAGCATAAAAGAAGAGCATTGCTGCCATTTTTACAACTTCCTTTTCCATTGTGTGAAGGGATAAAAGGGCAGACCGATTTATTCATGATGTAAAGAATCCAATCCCAGGCCCTGAGCCATTGAGCAAGATCTAGGGTACAGTGAATTTCAACTTTCAGTCAGAAAACGTCCTGAAAATGTATGCAGCATGATGCTTGACTGAGCTTTTTCAGGGAGGGTTTGGCAGAGGAAAGCAGAGGCTGAAGGAGGAAACTCATCACTATGAGGCAAAAGTGCAGATCAGATGAAACGAAAATGAATTTTTCAGTGAAATGTGAATGAAAAGGACATGAGGGAATCGGCGGCGTGCGCTCCAGAGGACTTCGAGAGAGGCAGAACTGATGGCTAACTTTAGTAAAGTGTCTCTGCTCATCAGAGTAGAATCAAAAAGAATCTTTGAAACAAAACACACATTTTCCTTCTATTCATCTCACTCCTTCCTTCAGTGGTTCGTGCTTGTGTTCTTCTGCCTGGAAAGTTCAGATTCTCTGATGGCAAAAGTGCGGCTCTGCATGCTTAAAAGGGAAATGACGTTTATTTCTGAAATGATAAAAATCTTTGCTTCCAGACTCACCCTGCATAACGCGCATGCACACTTGTCTGATGTGTTGATCACTTGGTTCTTTACCCTGTAAACACAGGAGGAGTTGTTTGGAAGAAAATCACACAAATTCTGACTGTATTCTGATCATTTCATCGCATTTCAGACCACTAATTAGCTCTGCCTCCGAAAATAACAAAGAAAAAAATTGGAATTGGAATGAAGTGTTTTTAAAAGCTGCAGAATGTTTCACAGTACTGTTTTTCTTGATACCTTTCCAAACGTAATGAGTATGTACAACAAAATGCTGAAAAACTACAGGGTTTCCACACATTTTGGCAACTGACTTTTTAGTTTCTAAAACTTTCCTGTCATTCATGATTACTGGATAAGGATTAATGATATTCATTTTATGACTGCACTCACAAACAGCATTTTTAGCCAATTAAACATGTTTTGACTTGAGCATAACAGAACAAAGTTATAGTCACTATAGACACCTTACAGGACTAGAAAATAGTTTTCATGATATTTAAAAGTTTTCAATGACTGTAAGAACCCTGTACCTATAATAATAATTTTTTCTCTGGTCTTGATGTCAAAATGTGAACATGAGAACAATATAGCTACCAAAATTTAATAATAAAAACACATTAACACATTGAATAAGCTAACAGAATAGCAATATAACCATGTCCTGTTCAACCACTACCATTGAAAAGTTTATGGTCAGTAAGAATTCATTAACAATTTTTTAAAACTCTCTTCTGCTCACCAAGGCTGCATTAATTTGATCAAAAAATACAGTAAAACAGTAATATTGTGAAACAGTATTACAATCTTAAGTAAATGTTTTAAAAACAGGTGTGCTGCTTAATATAAACAGCATTTATTTGAAATATTTTTGTAGTGTTATCTCTGCTTTCACTTTTGATCAATATAATGCATTCTTGCTGAATAAAAGTATTTATTTCTTCTTTAAAAAATCATTCTGACCCCAAACTTTTGAACTGTAGTGGACATGCAAAGTGAAATCATGATAATGTGCAACAAAACAATGAAAATTACCAAGAAAAATGTCTTAAAAAGCAGATAGAACATTGATAAAGCATATTTATATGTGAAGAGAGATTTGGGTGACAGGCAAATCTTTTTTTTTTTTTTATAACCGTAGACAGTCTTGGCTTATGAAGTGTAATTGCTAATCACTCTATCTTTGAAAGGTTGATAACATACCGCTGGTCCCTGGGTGCCACGAGGTCCTGGAGCTCCTCTGTTCCCCTGCATGCCACGTGGTCCAGGACTACCAGGAGGCCCCTCAATGCCAGGCTGCCCACGGGCACCCTCTGGTCCTCTATTACCCGGATCCCCCTGGTTACCAACCTGAATTTACACCAGAGATGTAAGTATACATACATAGATGTAATACTAGTGTCTTCGTATAGTAAATCGTTTCAATACAGTGTCATATTTGAGGGCTAGAGTGAGCTGAGATAAAGCCAAAGAATATTTCTATGGATATCTGTAATCAGAGCCAACTGCCTAATAGACCGTCGTCAAAAATTCATAAATATTCAAGAAAGAATGCTGATCCAAAACTCACTTCGCCTTTAGCTCCAGACTGGCCAGGGTCACCCTAAGTGTAGAAACAGCAAGAGAAGTAAAGTGCACTACAATATCTAAAAAATCTCAGTGTACATTAGCTTACTGTATTCTTATTATTTTTTTAGCTATGCAGTTCAGAGCTACTCACAACATCTCCCTTGTCTCCTGGTGTTCCCTCGTCACCTTGAGCGCCCTACAATAAAACACATCACCAATTCATATGCATAAGTTCTGTTATTGTAAAACGTCTTGAATGGATAGTTTTGGTTATAAATTGAGTCTTTCTTACGTTAGTTTTTAAGGTATCCGCAACCCTCTACGGACACCTTGGCAATTGAATCGCCATTTGCTCGTACATATTTTGGTTTATTCGCCAGACTGATATATATATATACAGTATATATACAGTATATATATGTTTGTAAAATGGCACAGTTTTCTTAACATCAGTCAGTCAAGCAATAATATCATAATCAAGTATTTATTGATAGAACTTTAGTAATTAGAATTAAAACTTGATAACCATGTATGAATGCATATTAGTCATTTTAACTGAACTTAGGACTGGTGGTCGTGCTTTTTGTGTCATTCAGTGTTTCTGTAAAAAAAATTTAAATTGGGGAAAAACTAACAAAAATACTGATAAGATAATGATACAAATTCTACTAATAAGAGCAATATAAAACACACTAAGGATTAATGAGCTGCTGGTTTCATGAATATTAATCAGGTTGTGGGCATTCGCTCGAATTGATTGCTGAAATCAAAACAGTGACGATAATAGTAATAAACGATAATAATTGTGAGAAGAATTCCAAAAGGAACGCTATTATTTTGACAGGAAAATACAACAAAGAATATCGTTTACATGTAGCGTGTCAATTCTCTCTCTCTCTCTTTGTCTGCATGTGTGTGTGAGACACCCTAGAGTTTACGGTACGTCAAATACAGGTGCGCTGCGCATCCATTCAGATGAACTGAAAAATAGCACAGATCGGTTGACAGAGAGTGAAACTTTGAAGCGTTCAGTAGAGAGTGTTCGGCGAGTTAAAATATATCTGTGCTAAACTTGTACTTAGCCTCCAACTCACACACTGGCGAGTAAAATCAGAGAATTTATTAGCCATTGGCTAATATTAGACATCATTTAGTCGCCAAGGGCGAAGATTGAGTCGCATATGCGAGTGATTTACTCGCAATGTAGAGGGTTGATCCGATGTATTCAGTTTAGTTCTGCAGTGCAGTATCTGCTGATAATGTGAATCATGCTCTTACCTGTTCTCCCTTTGGTCCAGGTTCTCCTGCTTCACCCTGTGTAATATCACATTCAGAAATTAATTCCCTTGAATATTTAACTGAAAGTATGTGTCTGAAGAGTTCATTATAACAACAGTTATGCAATAATGTACGTTCAGCATTTTGCTCTTTCTATAAATCCTACATCTGTTAGAGGTGCTCAAGTTCTTTTTTTAAATGCATTTAGGAAATCATTGAGTCTAAAATGGTCCAGTTTGATTTTCAAAAGCCTCATTGTACTTTCAAAGCTTTTTAAACTTTAAAACACCAATGGGAGTACATAATAATTGCAGTGCCTTAAAGGCTAGAAAAGTAGAACCCTCACTGTCTAATTAAGCAAGAACAGTGAATATAAAGAGGTTAGCTGTTTTTTAAAGAGTCGCAGATGACTTTTTGTAATAGTTACAGGGATGTTGATGTAGCAGAACTCCAAGTACACTTTTCTGTTCCTTAATAAATCTGATTTCCTGACTGCAACAAGTCAGGGTGCACAGGTTTTTATCAGTTCACCGAGGAACAAAATCATGTTGAAAAAGTTAAGAGCAATTTAAAGAGATTGTTTTGGGATATTTTGAGATTACAAAAATCTCTTCAAATGTGGTAGGCAGAGACATTCTCACCCTATCTCCTTTTATTCCTGGCAGGCCCGGTGGTCCAGGAAGTCCAGGCAAGCCCAAGTCACCTTTAGGACCCTGAAAAGACAAACAATGTAAGATGACATGCAGTATGAGTCTGGGATTTACTGTAAAATTCTGGTTGATGTCTTTTATATTCCTTCCTGCCCCACTGCAGGATTTCCAAACAGATGGCAAAGGTCCAAATACCTTTGTCAATAAAGAGCAAAGACTGCAGAATCCTTTAGTTCCCCTGCAAAAACTCTCTCATGCATTTTTAAAAAGAGAGTGCGGTCTGAGAAAAAGCAAGATCAGGACAAAGTGGCAAATGCTGATCAATTTGGTATGTGGATGTACACCAGTGTTTCCTGCACTGCTGATTTAATCTACAGTTACATTCCTGTATGTTCCAAGCCTACATGTTTTAACAGAAATTCACTGTCCAACTGAGTCATTCAATGGATGCGTTTATTTAATTGAATCATTTTTTTAAATTCTACAGATCTGCCAAAACAGTGTTTTGTCATTATAAATGGTATTTTATCGTAAATCAATTAATTAATCAAACAATCAATAAGTACCACAAAAACCAGTCTTAAGTCGCTGGGGTATATTTGTAGCAATAGCCAAAAATAAATTGTATGGGTCAAAATTATACATTTTTATTTTATGCCAAAAATCATTAGGATATTAAGTAAAGATCATGTACCATGAAGATATTTTGTAAATTTCCTACCGTAAATATATCAAAACTTAATTTTTGATTAGTAATATGCATTGCTAAGGACTTCATTTGGACAACTTTAAAAGGCAATTTTCTCAATATTTTGATATTTTTTGCACCCTCAGATTCCAGATTTTCTATTAGTTTAGTATTAGTATTTTACAACTATTTTCCAATAGTTGTATCTCGGCCAAATATTGTCCTATCCTAACAAACCATACATCAATGGAAATCGTATTATATAATATTATATAATTATATAAATTATAACAGAAAATAACTAAGCAGGATAATTCTATACAATTATATACATTATAACAGCTGAATATGTAGATATAAATCTGAATATATAGTTGAAATTTGAATATATATTTATTGGATATATAAATGTTCATTTAAATACATGTTTGTAAATACTGCATTTCAAAGTTGTGTGGGCCTTAAGCAGAAAGTGTAAAATTCAAGTTGTGGCATTAAATGTTGCATGAAAAAAAAATCTTCCTCAGTATTTTTGTTACCTAAAATATTTTGTTACCAAATATCTAAACATCCTTAAATCAAGATACATTTACTTGGGATGCAAATTGAACATATGAAGTCTTGTTTTCTAAGAAATTAAACAATTGTTATTGTAAATTGTTATGCAATGAGCCCATTGGCAAATATTTGTTCTTGTTATAATCATAAACTCACTTCATTTTGATCAACTTCTCGTGAAACAAGACTACTTATTTCATGTAATTTTCTCATGTAAATGCATCCTGATTTAAGAATCTTTATACATTTGCACTGGAAAACAAGACAAATATATAAAAAGATATTTAAAAAAAACAGGAAGAACATCACTTTTTGCACTTTTTTGCAGTGTGAGCAGAATATACAGTAAATGTTATTTCCATATTCCAGTGGTCAGTACAGCAGAACTATTCAAGACTTAAGCTTTTTTTTTTTTTAAGTAATGGAGATCTATTGGAAGTTGTATTTTCAAACTTTGAGCTGTTGCTAATAAAAGACATTGTGTGTTCCATTCCATTTTCCCTTTTTTTCCTTTCCATTTTTCCTTTTTTAAACTTCATAAAACCTGCTGAAACCCTGTATTCTTAATTTAAAACAATTATAAGGTTACAAATTATTTACAATATTGACATAATCATGTTTAAATATTTGAAGTGTGATGGTGAGTGTTTGTGTGTGTAGATAAGTGTGTGCTCATGGGAATGGCAGGGGAACAGAGGGCTGTTTGAGAGACACTGCTGTGAGACATTCTTTTGACTGTTTACTCTTTACTGTGAAAGCTGTGAGGTGAAATCCCATTCAAGAGAGAGACCGCTGGCTCCAATCTCTTCCATGGGCCACAGCATGAAGTTTCCCTTCTTACCCGCAGTGTCTGCATTTCAGTACTATGAATATTTGCCTTGGTTTGACCCTCAAATTAGCATAATATAAAAGTCATGAATTCCCCTAAAAGACTATTAGTGAAAAGTTTTTTGAATTCACTGCACACCAACCCATCTAAATAAGTAAAAGCGATTGAGTTTAGTGGATGTCAAAATGACTTGCTTTCTCTTTGAACACAGGGATAATAGAATAATTTAAATGTAATGCTGCCTATGACTTGTTTTGAACTTTGGGTTTGCTGCCAGCATATAGGAAAGACAATTTGCAAATGAGAGCTCTTTAATGTTAGTAGTTTCTCTAACACAGCACAAAATCATTTTCTTATTCAGTATGTTTGTCTCATTTTCCAGTAACTAAATATCTAAACATCCTTAATACAAGACGAATTTACTTGACAAGCAAAATTGTGACATTTTCTCCTTTTTAGAAATAAATAAATAAATAAGTTTAGTATATTTCATGCTTAAAACAAGAAACAACAACTTACCAATGATGCTAAAAAAAACCTACGAAAAACTTAAATAAAAAAAATATATATTTCACTTCGCAGTCGAAATGAATGTGATTTATGGATGTTATAATATTTGTTTTGGACAAAAGGCAAACAATACTGATTAAGATCGATAATTTTTTGCAGTGTAGACAAAACGGTAAGACATATGAAACCTGAAGTCTACTGCTTCTTGGATATTTCTGCACATAAAATCTGACTTTTCAATTTGAACTCCAACATTTCTCATTAAACCCTTTCAGAAGCAAATCATCTGAACTATACTATCCACATTAATTGTATAGCTAGCAAATATTTGATATAATTTGTGTCTATTTTTATTTCTTTTTAAGGAGAAACATCTAAAACCGGGTGTTATGCTGAGCCTCAAAGAGAAACCTCTGAGCAACGAATGCAACTTTAGGACCCCCATCTCTCTACAGGCAAGGGCTTTTACTTTGTTCAGTAATTTGCACGATGAAAGCAAAAGTACGGAAGATGCTTGCTTTGAAACCACAACCATATCATTATACAGATTATTCACTTACTCTGGCTCCTGGTTTTCCCATCGGCCCAGGTGGCCCATGCTCTCCTCGGTCTCCCTAAACAGAAGGAAACTATCATCATTTGGGAAATATTCCTAGGTGAGTAAACACAGACACATCCAGCTTGTCCATTATCTGTTAGTCATACTGCATTGGGTACTCACAGGTTGTCCAATAGGCCCAATGGGTCCAAATTCTCCTTGTTCTCCACGTTCACCCTGAACAGAGACATTTAGTGTCAGATAATCTATTCCTGCACGCTAATGGCAAAGCCATTGGATGGTTTACCTACCGGTTTACCTGCAGATCCCATAGTACCGATGAGGCCCGGTTGTCCTGAATTACCCTGTAATTGGAGCAAGTATATCATATAGTGTTCATAATAACCTATAGGCAGAGTAGGATTGTGCGTGACTTAGTAGCTTAAAGCTTCAAAGTAGCTTAAAATGGCATCAAATTGAAAATTGCAAAAATAATAAGCCAATGTTTCTGTTTTGGGCCACTGAAACAAACAATGCTAAAAGAGCCACAGTGACACACATTTCAGAAAAAAAATACAACTAGGGATGTGCAATACATTGCAATTAAATCAGTTATTGGCTGATAATACAGATTTTTTTATTATTATTATTGGCAAATATTGGATTAGCTGATGCTAATTGAATGGATATTTTGTTTTGCACACTCATTTCCCTATTTTTTTCATACACAATATATTATCTTAAAATCTGTTGTCTTAATTACACTAATCTTTAAATCTTAAAACTAATATTTTGAATTATAAAATAACACTTAAATGTAGTCCGTAACAAATTTCAAAATGAATATATACTATAGCACTTCAAATGGTTGATTTTAGTTTTTAGTGTTTTGTTAATGTATTTAGACAAAAAGTATAGTAAGTAAAGTAAGCCATAACTTTAAAATAATTATCAGAGTATCTGTATCAGCCAGAATGTTAATATTGGCAAAATGCTAAAACCAACCTACAAATGGCTTTTTTTTGTCTTTGAATATAAAAACTGAGATGGGAGAAAACATCTTAAAATAAAAATAGCAGCTTCAGCTTTAACAGCCTGTGGTTCTGAGACATAAGTTATTTTTGCTTCATTGTCCTGAAAAAACTTTTGTCAATTCAGGGTGTTAAAAAATGTGATGACTTTGCACCAAGCACAGATAAATTTAGCAACATCTCTCACCTTCTCTCCACCTCCACCTTTTGGTCCTGGGCTTCCTGGTAAACCCTGCAGACATTAAATAAAAGTCACTAAATATCAAAATGCAGTTGTCAAGGCTTCATCTCCTGAAGGAAGTAAAACGCCTTCTCTTTCTTCTGTTAGATCAAAGACAAATCCAAGGGGTGGATTTGAACAGTCTCAAAATTAATGATTTTCTCAACAACAACAAAAAGTCTCAAAAATTAGTCATGAAGACCTGACATCATGCTGGATAAAGTCAGAAGTATTTTATAATCTTGCCCTGCCATGAAATGGAGCACACATTTGAAATCGAAATAAATTATTGAAATTTTTATCTGCTTAATAGCTTTAAAGGAGACAGGTTGAACATGACATGAGACAAAAAGTTCAGAATTCAACTATGTATGTCTGACAAGGATAAAATAAAAGTGACTCATTGTACTGCATCCTGTAGAAAGAAGGTGAAAGTTCACATACACTACCATTTAAAGTTAACTTTTTAAGGTTTTTGAAAGAAGTCACTTATGCTAACCAAGTCTGCATTTATTTGATCAAAAATACAGTAGAACAGTAATAATGTGAAATATTTCAATCTAAAAAAAAAGCACAAAAAACCTTACTGAGCTCAAACCATTAAACATTTGCATACTGTATTTGAACTTTATTATTCTCTGGCAAATGTTTTTGACCTTCTTCACAGTCTGAATGCATTTCTTTATTTCTACATTAAGACTTACAGAGAGTCCTTGAAGTCCAACTTCCCCAGGGCTTCCAGGTTTTCCGGCAGCACCCTGTAATAAGTTTTAAAAACAAAACACCATTATTACCACTGTCACTCTTTTTACATGGCCATGTTTGAATGACGAAAGCCAGATTTTGCTGTACCTTGGCACCTGGCATGCCAGGGATTCCCTCACGTCCATCCACACCTGGCAAACCCTGGAGAAAGACACAGATTGGTGCTGTTTGGATGCATACAAGTAAGCCTTTAAGTAAATCCTTTTATCTACTCTGACAAAAAGTACCATACTGCCATATTTTTCATGTTGTTACCATCTGACACCATCACTGTACCATGGTACCAGCCACATTTTTCCGCATTTTCATTAAAGGAAGTGAATGTTTATTTATATGGTAAACCACATACACTGTCTCCCTTTGTCCCTGGAAGACCAGTGTTGCCTCTTGTCCCTTGAGGTCCCTGCAGAAAGAGATAATTTAATTAAATCGGATTCATTCAAATCTTAGAATGATAGGATATAGCCAAATAGGGCATGTTCTTGGATCAACATTGGTGGGTTGTTTGAATGTTATTCCAGGACTAACAAGGATGTTGATCCTGGATCATGTCCTACTTGGCTAAATCCCATTTAGGATCCAGCTTATCATGGGCAACTTCTCAAAGGCTAATTTAATAAACAAAAACCTCTTAAACTTAAACTTTTTGTTGTTATAATGATAGTTATACACATACCTGTCCGCCTTTAGGGCCAGTTTCTCCCATTAATCCTCTTTGGCCTCGATCCCCCTAGATAAAAAGAAGCACACTCCACAGATATCTGCTAATATTGATTTGTTTATTTACACCCAAGGCTCAGGACATTATCTTCAAATCATGCCCACTGCTGAAACAGACTGTTGAACAAAGCAGAACTTTCCTGTTTCATGATTGTTTACAGCTTTAGATTAGATTTTTTTCATTTGAAGAACTTACCGTGGCTCCTGCAACACCCTGAGGTCCAAGGTCCCCATCAAGACCTCGAGGCCCCTGTAAAAAATAACATATTACTTATTTTCAGATTTTTTTTCTGTGTTTAGTATTACATTTTTTTCTCCATTATCAGCTTTTTATGTCGGTTGCAGTGCTGCAGTATACCATCTAATGCCACTCTAAGTTTCTTTTTTTGTATAAAAAGGGGATAATTCTCCCAAAAATGAACATTTTGTCATCATGAGTTTCTTTCTTATGTTGAACATAAAAGAAGATATTTTGAAGAATGCTGGTAATCAAACAGTTGATGGTCCCTACTGAG